TATTATCATAATAATAGTAATAATATTTTATATAAACATTTAAATCTAACAATATTTAGTCTACATGGACAATAATAATTGAGATAAAGGACTAAAGTACTTTAAAAGTTTAATAAATATTGAACAGAAATTCAATAATTTGGAGTTAAAGTGGTGTTAATTACTTATAAACCATTTCTAAGGTATTGACATAATCTTCAATAAATGAAAATGCATCAATATTTCAAAAACAGATGAAATAAGTCATTTAAAATAATTAAATTCTTCATTCATAAGAATTGCTATTGAATATTTTGAAAAATGTCATTGATAATTGAATTCAATTTAAATTTAAAGAAATCACAGTATTATCTTCAATTAGAGTTTATAAATATTGCAGATTGTTTTTTGAAAATTGAATTCATTCAAATAAATCTAAAACTTCTTCAAAATAATCAAAACTAAACATGATATAAGTTAAAATTACATAAATAGATATAAAAAAATGATCTAAATGAGTTCCTCTACTTCAAGTACAAAATAAATGATTTTAATAGTTTTGATTTACAATATTTTCGTGGTTATTTATTAAGTTTTGATACAATTGATTGATATTTCCTCGTTAAATTGCTTACTACTTAAGTCCTATAAAAAATTAAGTATGGTAATCAATAGACTGAGTTATTCTCAAGTAGGTTAAATAGATTTTTTTTTTTTTTGGACTAAAGACCTGGTTGTATCTCTTTATTGATGACTGAAAACTTACTTGAAATTAGACAAACTTATTATACTGATTGATTGAATTAATATCATTAGGTATTCAAAATTTGAGATTCTTTTTCAAGTTTATCTTTGTGATAATAAAGGAAAGATATACTTAGAATACAGAGCTCGAAGTCGATAGCAAATTTCGATAAAGCTGCTGTAAATCTCCCTATAACTATAATGTAAAACAAGTCGGGTTCGATGGGAATCAAACTCACGACCTCAAAAGAGGTCATTCGACCACTCGATCAGAGATCCCTGCCACTCGCCCAACGAGGTACTTATCTCACTTCGGCTATTCGTCATACACATATAACCAGTTTCAACGCAAGCCTTATGTTCAGGCCTATCTACTACAGATATGTTCTTCGAACCATATTTACAGCTGCGTTGACTTGACTCAAGATTTCCATTGAAGTGTTGAAAAATATTGAGTCGATTTTGAACTCTAAACTATAACTTTTTACAATATACATATAGCACATTAAGGATCTATGCATATACACAAGATACATAGGAAACAACAACAAGTCAAAAATAGAGTTTTAGAGCAAAAAAATTATCTTTCCTACTTGAGGTTAAATTGTCTGCATCTTCAATGATTTTAATTATAATTTGACTAAAGTTTTGACAGATCTCATCCTTAAATGTGATGCAAAATATGCTTTTAAAATTATTTTAAACCAAAATTTCATCACAAAAGTTTGACCTAAAATCACTGAAACTGCATGTTTTCCGAACTTGATATTCTCATCGACCAGATGTTCTTGTAAAATACTTTGATTATGATTTATTATTGACACCATATGTTTAGCATTAAAGCTTCCATTTCTGAAGCTTCCGCTTTTAATTAACCTATGATATTTATTAAAGTATCATCACGACTTTTATTTAATTTTTAAACTAATTGATCAATTTTATAGATTATTTAAATCTATTGAAGCTGTAATGATTATAATATAAGGCATTCATTTACTCTTTTTATCTTTTTATCATCATTAAATTGTGATAGTTATCATCTTTATTAATATGAATATATCATGTAGGGGAAGTAGTGTCATGGAGAAGATAAAGTTGATGTTCATCATACATTTAACCTTTTAACTTCAAAAGGAAATTGTTGGGAATTTATGTTAAATTGTTAGGATGCACAAAGTGCATTTTCAGTTATTTTTGAAGTTTTACAACTGAGAAGAAGTTTAACTGAATGTAAATTCGAGTATTGTAAATTTTCAATTGTTTTTTTAAGATTCAAAAACAATGAACGGGTTTTATAAATTCAAAAAAAATTAAAGTTCTTAAAAATTCAAATTTAAAATGTTCGTTAACTTAAGTGGGTCAAAATGACTTTTTCCATAATTAAAATCACAGATAATGTTTTTATAACTTTTCAATTTCGACAATTTAATGCATCCTCACAACTAAATTAGATTAAATTGAATAGAGAACTGCACAGCATTAAAAAAATTGTTCACTTGTGGCATTTTCCATTCAATTTATTTTTCCTTTTTTTCACATGAAATAAAAGTTAAAGAAAAAGTTTTTCTATCGTCATTAAATTGTACTGTACAAATTCATTCATAGTGCTAATAGTTTCTACTAGATTTAAATTAATTATGAACTGTATGTATTGGACATTTCATCATCATCAGCATTTCATATAGTATGCATCACTTTTTACCATAATTATATTTTATGTATATGACTTTTATGTATATATGAACGTATCATTATAATGCATAAATTTTATTATCTATTTTTTATGCAAATGAAAAAGTTGAAAAGAAAGATTTTGTAGGTTCAAGTGACAGAGATAGGAATAATTAAAGAAATGGGAGGACATTTGGTGATGATTTTAATCAAATTTATTTAACTTTCAACTGTCTGTATGTTTATGAATGTATATTGTTATTTGATTTTAGTGAAAGAGAACAATTTCACTCTCTGGGAGTAGTGTTGAGTCTGGTGTGAAGTTGGAAATGATTCATCATGCCATAAATCTTTAAAATACCATTCAAATTTAATTCTTATGATAAATGGATTTAATTGACATTGAGCCATGAGAATGACTAACTGGATTACAAACAAGTTGTAATGAAAAGGACACTGAATAGTCCTAAACCTGATACGAACAATTCACGTTCGACAGACTTATCGAAAGTCTAAGGGTGTTATAATATGCATTATTACACGCTTTTTATTTTAATTTTAAGTCATTTTATTAGACTTTTTTATATTTTTAAAAAGATTAAGCTATATTATGCTTATTATTGAATCATTACATAGTATTTTCATCTATCTTTTTTGTAAAACTTGCTTAATTTAAGTTTTTAATTTTTCTTAATTTTCGAACATTTCGAACTAGGGTTGGGCAAATATTCGAATATATTCGAATATATTCGAATATGAACAAAAAAATATTCGAATATATTCGAATATATATTCGAATATTAGAAATTCAAAAATGAAAAAATACGTTATTTGTTGATTAGCATTTTTAAACTTTAAATTTTTAAACGAAATTCGAACTGCAGCGTATGAAAGATGTTTTCACAAGTTTTCTTGGAAACTGTAACGGTCGAAACCCTCGAATTGTTCGTATCAGTCCTAAACATTCAAGACTAAGAAATATCTTTAAAAATTGCTCAGTTAAGTTAAAGAAAATTAATTCTATGTGTAAGGTTCAAATCTTTATGATTCTTGATTGAAAAATCTTACTAAGAACCAATCGAGTCAACTTCACACTAGTCCGCCTCAACCTATCATTTCATAGTTTTAGAAGTGCATTTTAATTTAAAATGCAAAATGATTTTGTGACTTTTTCACCATTCCCATACATGTTTCATGCTTTCATAAAATATTTATTTATAAATATTTGTTTATTTGATTATGTTCGAATGAATGTTTGATGAAATGATGTGTTTGTGTGCGGTTTATTATTTATATTACTTTTGATGATTACTTCAGCAGATTTCTTTTATGGAAAATTATTACATTTAACTGGAAACTTTTGTAGAGGATTAAAAATTTGGGGAAAAATCAATCAAAAATTGTAATTTTAAGGGAAATGTTTGAATTAATTGGACAGATTCTTGGTGAAAATTTAAATAATTCCAGTTCAAAAAATCATAAGATTATTTAAGACTTTACAGAACATATTCTTGGAAAATTATTAACTATGTTAATGAAATGTGCGACTTTTATGTTCCATCATTGAGCTATGATAATATGCAGTGCTGTCATAGCACAAAATAATTCAGTATGTGCCATCAATAACATTTGTATGCATTGTTATGATACAATGAAATATGCTTTAGTCAAGTATGTATACAACATTGGTCTATGTACAAAACTATATAATTTTCATTAATTATTATTTCATAGAATAAACACTAATGTAACTTACAAATCTCATTATGGATGGCTCTCAAAGCATTTAATTTCTTCATATTCATAGATTTAATCTTTAAATTAGCTTATAGACGGCTTACGACAATATCAAATGTTCATTTCCTCTAATAAAGTTGAATGGATAAGTTCTGGTGAAATTCATTGGCTAATTTTGATGCTTGTATGGAAACGGATCAAAATGTCCACGTCCTACAGTCATTAGTTCTGGGGTCCATTTATTTGCTCGATAATGCATTTCTTTCGACATTGATGGACAATTTTGTTGCTGATTCTGTGTGTTTAAAGAGAAAGTTAAGTTAGTATCAGATAGAAAATCAGAAATACTTAAAACTGTTCGGGGCCATTCACTTATTACGTAACGCTTTTAGGGGGGGGAGGGGGGTCTAAGATTTTGTTACGGTTCAAACAAGGAATTTTTTTTTTCATACAAATTTTGTTACGAGGGGGGGGGGGTCTAAAAAGTCATTTTTTCGCGTTATAATAAGTGAACAGCCCCTTCTAATAACTTTGAGTTTAATCCCGTTGTTTATTAGAATATCAGAATGTTCAAAGGTTTTGATGTTTTGATGTATAGGAAGTTCAAAAACTAGTTCTACAAAATATTAATCTATATTATTCACTTGACATTTTAGTTGAGTTGATTTTAATCTATGATTTTGACTCAAAGAACGATCTATATAAGCTAATCATTGTTCAGTATTTAGTTAAAACTCCGGCTAGAAAGTCCCTGAAAACTCTCCAATGTGCTTGCATTTGGACAGAAATACAAAAATTCAATCTCCCTTAATTTATCCAAAAACATACCTCCTTAATAAAATAAAGAAAATAATAAAAAAACACAAAAATTCAAAAAATAATAAATTCAACAAATTTTATTGTAAAAGTGTTACAAAAATAAAGCATAACATTAAAGTCAAGGCACCAAATATTGAATTTTTCATTGCAAATGATTTTTCGGGCTCATTAGTAGAAGAACTGTCATCATCATCTTGTGAATCACTTAAATTTTCTTCATTTTCTATTGACTCGCTTGAAATTGTATCATTTACTGGAAGTTCTTTAATCTTATTTAATTGTTTATATTTTGATATTTGCCCATCAAAAACTTTTTCTATTGGCCGATAATATTCATTGTCAATAGGTTGATTGTTTTCATTTACCTTTGCAAAATCTATATTAGTTCGAATAGTTCTATGATGTAAAGGTTGTAATGGTCTTGCATTATTTCCTAACGGTGCCTTAGGCGTCTGTTCAGATCCTTGCATAAGTCTTCTCAATGCATAGAGCTATTAAAGAAAATAAACATTATTCCTCAATTATGTGATGAGACTGTTCGTAAGTTTAAACATTATTATTCCTTACTTCTTGTTTTGTTATGTAAATGGGCTTGTTAAGAATCACCCATACAACGCTCTCCCAACAGCCAGGATGTGTTGTGGAACCTTCATATGTCATATACTGTTCCGTATTCGGAAGTAATGACTTTAATGATAGATGTCTTATTTGCGTGGAAGAACCTGACGAAAAATGTATGAATGAATGCATAATTAATCAATATGCATAAAATAAGCATTTCCGACTATTTTATGCGACTGACTGACAAGAGAAAGTCAAATATTTTCTTCATTTTCTATGCAATTTTCGCCAAATACATGAGGATTATTTTTACTTTTTATGCCTTAGCCAAAATTGATTAAGCGCTTGTGGATATGTTAAGTACAGGATGTCCATTTAAAAGAATTTACGAAAAACTTTAAAGACGTTTGAAATGTGGTTGTTTCAAAGGGACTTATTATCTTACTTTGGGATATAATAATAATAACCATAATGTGTGAAAGGCCCAGACTTTCAGCTGGAAGCACTGCGATTTAATTTGAAAAGAAGCAGTTGTACGACATCCTTTAGATTTACAACTTATAGTGGAATCCAAACTATGGGAAAAACTCGGATCCGATTTTGACATTGACTTAGAGGGGATCACAATAATCGTTTCGTAAGACACTAAATCTCGTTGTTGCTATCCCAACCACCACCCTGTCCAAAATAATGCGCTGCAATCAATTCACAACCCAACACATTCTCCACAATTTATTTTCAGCTTTCTCCTTCAACTAGACATTCTCTCATGACTAAATCAATGTTATAATGTAGTCATGACTCATGACAATGGTTGTAGTGCAAAAATTTGCATTCGAAAATTAACGAAGTAAAAATTGTTTTTCTTTCCTCATTCGTCTTGTTCGTCTTTCTTGCCTACCTTTATACGTGACTTTATTAAATGTGCTAGTTAACATCCTAAGTTCGTTCGTCAATGTTTCACCTATTTGAACCATCAATGAGATTCCGACAATTCCTTGAGCTTTATGCTGTGCCTCTGACATATTATGATATAATTCTTTATTAAAACCGTATAATTGGATCTGCCGAGAATAGAATGGAATGTGAAGAAAAAAAAAGAGAGAAAATTAAGGTAAATAAATAAATAAATAAGCATGTTATAGGATGTTCATGTTCCATGTCATGCGAGAAAAATATTTAATTCAAGCAGATTGTACGGGAAAAAAAGAATCAGATACAATATCTCCGTACATAAAGTCATTGAGAGCAAGAGAAACAGAATATTGTAAGCATAATTTTGTTTTTATATGTAAATTTTTAGCGCTATTACACTCAACAGCATTGACGGTATGCTAAAGTGTATTTCATTATCCATGAAGAATTCTTATACTCTTCTTACCTTTTAGGATCCCGAGAAGCACATGACAGAGTGAAACAGAGACGTGTGGTGCTATATTTCGTTTAGAAAATGATTGAATTTAAAGACAGACTATGACACTATTCTTAAACTCATATGTAGCTCTTAAAATATAGGCAATTGATTCAACAATTTGTACTTTATTACTAAAATTTAGGGATATAAGCTGACTTGAGTCTGGATCGTTAAAAACCAATTGAAGTTTGGATGAAATTTCACAAGAACCAACAGAAGAAAACACGAAACACGAAAGAAAAATTTGAATCGATTCAGCAAATCAGAGTGAATCCAATTCGACTTCAACCTTACATGTCACCAATTAAATTCAAGATAAAAACTGTATGCTCCTCGGTCTTAATATTAAATGAACAACTTAAGGAATAAAGTGGAGGAAATTCCTTCTTTCCTTCTTAATGCTCTTGTTGATGAAACTTTTATATCAAGTGTTTATTTGAGGACATGATAAGAACAGAAGAGTAAGTAAATGAACAAAAGAAATGAAAGAGTATTATCAAAAAATCTCCGAGTTCCTTTTCACGTGCATTCAAAGTTGAGGGAAATGAAATGAATTAAAGAAAAGTGTGAAGACTGGATTGAATATTAAGAAGATTAGCTGTGATTGACTAAATGACATAGTTTAGTTTAAAGCTGATGACTATTATTTAATTGACGATTAAGAAAAGAAGCGCTTAGTATGAAGCCTTGCATCAATGCCAAAGAAGTTTTCTTTATTGAACATTTCAGTGGGGAGACGAGCATCTATTTTATGATCCAGTGTCATCCGTTGATTTTAAAATTGACTTTATAGAATTTCCCATTTTAATTTTTTCCTTTGAAAAAAAGTTTGTGCCATCATTTTCCCATACATGTAGCGCCAAGGAAAGGGAAGAAAAAAAATCTGTTGAGAATTTTAATTAAGAAATCGTATAAAGTCGTGCTACATTATTACCATACAGGAGTATAGGGGAGAAAAAAAGAAGTAAGCGTATGTTACCATGTTGCTTACATTCAAATAAAAAAACTGAACTTCAAACTTTTTTTCTTAGTTCTTTTTTTCCATATCTCGTGTCTCTCTTCCTCTCGACTTTATATTGTTTCGTTTATAAATTTGGGGTATATGTTTGTGCATACATGAGGGGCGATGATATGAATATAAAGTGGCAGTCAGTAAAATTAAAGGAAAAAAAGAAGTCAGGGGACAAAAAATGGCGAGAAAATTTAAATTGAAATATTTTTTGGAGTGAAAATCGGAAAATTGAAAGTTAAAATTAAACTACAAAGGTTTAAAAAACTGAAACTTTGCATAAAAATTCAATTTTTATAATTTTTGAATTTTTAAAAATTTCTATTTTTTATTTTAATTTCCCCAAATAAATTTTATAACCTTCCAAATTCCCACCAATCAATGTCCCCCTTGACAACAAACTTACTTCACCAGGAAAAGCATAACCGTGAATTTGATGCTCCGAGCCTTGATTATTCTCAGTACCGTAATGAATGTAAATTTCCTCAAATTGATATCTATATGCTGGATATATGCGTAGTTATTGATTATGCAGGAATAGATGAGAAGTAATAAAAGTCAATAAATTTTCAAAATTTTTGCTCATAAACTCAAATGATGGTAATATACCTAAAGGACCACCCGATATATTTACATGTTGCTTCGAGTCTTTATCTACACGAAACACTAACGACTGTCCAGAATTCTGTAATGTTCCCGATATCTAAATAGAGTATGAATATAAAATGAAACATTAAAGGCTTTTTTCCATCGCCTCATGCATAATCGGAATATATTTATTATTATGTATTTGCATAGCACTTACTACCTTATGTTTATCAATGTGAAGTGGTCGTAAATAAGGATCAAACAATAGCTTGTCTGGTTCAACATTGATCGGCGACTGACGCCTTCCTTTATTACACATATTCCATTGAGGATTTATTAAGCCCCAAAAACCTATTTTTCCATTGTTCAGAGTCGATTGAAAAGAGATGGGATTTATTTATGAATTGATGAAGATTCAAAAGGGAATTTAATAAACAAAACAACAAAAAAAAATATTAAAATTTATTGAAACTCACCAGGCCCCGAGATACCGTCATAAGTCCACCATTCTTCCCAGCTGCTATGTGCTATATCTATGAGATTTATCGAAAAATGGATATAAATTAATTCCATATCGAATTTTCACAGGTTTTAGAATTTTTTTTAACAATAAAATAACAAAAAATATATTTAACACTTTTACACTCAATTTTCATTGTTTGAAAGTTCTTTATATTATTAATCTTGGTGATGGTTTTGTTTTATAAATATTAGCAAAAGATTTGTATTTATCACAGATTATTAGAAGATTTTCAGGAAAAGTGGCATATGAATTTTATAAATGTGTATGAAATATTGTTAAACTTCATAAACCGAATAATTTTAAAAGTTAACAATTTAAGAAAAATCTAGAGGTTCAAATCCTTGAATATAAATAATCAAAATTCTCCGTTTCCGAAGAGGCTCGAACAGTATTTTTTTGACACTTTTTTTAAATAATTATTTAATCAAAGATTCACTTTTTAATTATTAATGTTCTTAAAAATAGGGACTTCAAATGCTTATTTTTCTGAGGTTATCGAGAAAAAACGAAAATGTTCAAATATTCACAAAACTTTTCTTGTGGACTGCATTTATGAGAACAAACATCTTTAATAATTACTTTTAAGTCATTTAAACAAGGCGTGGAAACTCAGAATAATCCTGAAAAATTTCAATAATCCTAAAAAATCCCTGAGCCAATAAACTGCAATAAACATGTAGATGTGAAATTCCTTTTAAAATCCCGAAATTATTCATCAAATGCATCAGGGATTTCACATTTTCATGTTTATTGGCTCAGGAATTTTTTCGGATTTTGGAATTTTTTAGGATTAATCCTGAGTTTCCACGCTTTGCATGAAAATTAAAATATGCAGAGATTATGGCATTTATGAAATTCAGTCCTAAAACTATATGACATTTTAAAATTTCTTTTTCAAGGCATGATTTGTCTTACGAATTCAACTATTATCTCTAATTCCGTGGTTTAAAGTCTGAAAAATACTTTTTGATTTGAAATTATTCTACATTTGATTTGAATTTTAGTGTCCTAATTTAACTGTTCCTATCCAATTATTTTTGATTTTAAAAAATTGAATAAAATTTAAAACTTTAATCATTTTAAATTCAAAAGGCAAAAAAAATCGTTTCTGTTGTGTCACTTTCAAGTACTCTCAATCAGCTCTTTTAATTGAAATTTTCATTGAACAACATTGCAGCACAGCACATAAATGTTTTTTTGCTAATAGCTTTTTATCACAAAATCATCTCCAATATTATCATGAACTGGATGTTATCACTTAATTATATCACTCATTACTAAACAATTTTCATAATGTTCTGTTAATTTTATTTTAAATCAGGATAAGGATGGGTCAACTTTAAATATTTATTTTGATTTAATAATGTTAAAATTGGCAGATTCAAAGGAAGAAAATGTTTAAAATAAAATTGATAGAATCCAAGAAGTTATATGCAAAGAAGTTCACATTTTTTGTTTGTCAGATTTAATTTTGAAACTTTTTTAAAAATAGAAATTTTATTAATTTTGAGGCCATTCGCATATTAAATTTGCTAGTCCACAAAGAAAGTCTTGAATTTTGAAACTGATTAAATACAGGAATTTTTTTATTTTTTAAACAGAATGGGGTAAAGGGGTCTAAGAAGTCATTTTTTGCGTATCATAAAAAATTAAATTATAATTTCAAATAAATTTGGTAAATTCACTTTCTAGGAACCTAAGATCGTTAAACAATTTTTGCCTAAAATAGCTTTTATGCCATTGATGTTTTAGAAAAGAATTAGCAATTTTTTAAAACAAATATAAAATAAAAATTTCACTGATTATAAAAAAGTTTGAATCTTACATTTTCTAGAATAAGAAAATCAATGAAACTTTGTATTTTATGCAAATTTTTTTAAGAAATATGAAGCAGAAATAAATTAAGCTTCAAGAAGATTTTTTTTGTATTACAAAATTGAGTTTAAAAGATTTCAAAAGCAAACTTTCTACGCAATAATATAAATTTTTTGATCAAAATTCTTAATTTTAATTTCAATCATGTTCTTAATTATTTTCAAATTTTAAACTTGATTTGTAATGTTTTTCAGTGATTTTTTAACCTTTTAAAACCTCAAATTAGAACATCTCGACAATTTTATAAAATGTCAGCAAGTTGAACCACCCTAGCAATAGCAGAGACAATTCAAATAAACAATAAAATATTTTAGAACATTTACCATCAATAATTAACAGCAAAACAATTAAATTAATTCCTAGTTTCGATAACATTTTATTATTGTAATAGTTTAAAACTTCGTCACTTGATATTGTTAAATAAACTAATTAATTCAGTATTTTTATTATTCACATCAATTTTCCTCTCAATCACTCGTTGATCAGTCAGTGACTCAACAAGAATGCGAGAACGAGACAGAGCAACAAAACCGAAAGCTTTAAACACTTTTTATTGGTTGAATTAAGTCAATAAAAAAAGCATTTTTCTCCTCTTTTTTTATTCTCGTTCATTGTCAGCACTTTTTTTGTGGCTGTCGTAAATATCCATTAAATTCCATTGCCCCCGTGTTTATATCACATATTCATCAAGACACACAAAAATAAATTGTCAACTAAATAAATTTTATTTTCTCTTCAACATTCACAATCTATTAAAGCTCTCGAAACTGCCAAAACCGCACAAAACACATTTTTTTTAGTCAGACAGTATGCTTGCTTGCTTGTTAATTCTTTCAAGTTTCGATTTGTCTCGAATGACTTTTTATATTTTTACGTAAAACAATCACGTTTTGGAAATTGTCTCTGCGATCACATATGAAATACGGCATGTAGCACTGCCAACATTTCATGCCTTTCGACTTCCTGAAATCTCATCCGATGATAGATTGAGACAATTTTCTATGATAAATTGACGTCACTTTCAATACGACAAGGAACAACCGAAAAAAAAAATATTTTGATTAACTTAAAGAAAAAAATTTCCGTCCAAGTCCAAAGAATTTCACTTCCATCGAGACGAAAAGCATCTGATTTTATTGATGGCTTTCGACTTACTGACTAACAGTCTTTCTTAGTTCTTTTATTTTGATCATTTTCAATATACAATGTCGTGTGTGATGTGTATAGGAACAAAAATAAAATCCTCTCAGCGATGGGAAGGAAAAGGAATCTGAGAAAAGTCTACAAAGAGCGAATAAAGGAACTTAATTCTCTGGGAAAATATTCTGCAAGCATGCGCAGCAATTCGAGAAAGTGAAAGTAAGGAATTTTCCAACTCCAATCGTCAACCAAATGATGATTATAAATGAGTGAGGGGGTTGGAGTGAGAAGAAAGAAAATTAAATGCACAGATTTTTTTTTTACTCGCGTCTTGTGTGCGTACTGCATGTAATTAACATTTTCTTTTCATTTGTTTTCATTGACTGAATATTTTAACTTTTTTTCTGATTAAATTATTTAAGTCTGTGAGGAATTTTGGAAGTCTTTTTTTTAATATCTTCAAAAGCATTTTGACATTAAAGTATGTTTGTATGGATAGCTAAGATCTTTTGTAAGCTACAAAAGCTAAATAACATAAAATAAGTATTGAGTGGTTACATGATCATGGAGAATATAACGCATTTTAGGATTTATGGAGGAGTTGAAGTTTGTTGGAAAGTCTTGAACTAAACTTGAGTTTTAAAAGTGAAAATATTAAATTTTAAAAACTTATTTTTATGTCATAAATATTAAAATTGTCAATTTTAAGTTCACGGATCAATAGTTCAGAAGGTGTTTGTGAAGTACGCGGAAGCAAGTTGTTAAGGATTCGTAAAACTCTGCCTGAATTACGTCCATATTACGACCATGTACGTCCCGCATTTAAATATTTTCGTCCTACTTCCTATAAATGGATATACCCCTTACAAGGTTTTGGGTATCTTTCCCGCGTAATTCACTTTTTCAGCGGGAGTAACTCCAGGAACCAAACTTTCATGGCTTGGTTGTATATGAAAACCGATCTGCTAATTACGTCGGTTTTTGGAAACGGATATAACCTGCAAGAGTTGTGGACTGTTTAAGTTTTGGACAGTCCTACTTGTGGACCAATATTTTATATTCACACCGTTTTCACGTGTGAATCTATTGGTTTTTTCAGATTAAAAAATCAATTTTTCACAAGAAGAAATGGAGCAAGACCAGGGGCGTAGCCAGAAAATTTTTAAGGGGGGGCCCATTTTCGAAAATTAAAAAACCATTATTTTGTATCCTTAAATCTATATTCATTCTTCATAAGTTTAAATATTTAATTCATTATTCATACATTAAATTTAATTTTTCGTGCTGATTTTGACATTTCTTTCATCACTTCCTCTACATTAACTGGTTCTTGTCTATAAATACTTAATAAAACAATTATCAGATTTTCGTAGGGGGGGGGGGTCCTATGCCCCCCCTCCCCCCTGGCTACGCCACTGAGCAAGACAGCTTAATATGTTCAACGATGAAAAGTTTGTGTCTGAAATTTCACATCTTCTGCAAAAAACAGATTTCAAATTGGTTAAGGCATTGCTGAGAAAATCGCAAAACACGCTTTCTGCAAGCAAACAAGTTAATCAGCAAGAAATCTCAATAACGAGACATCGTAGATACTTCTAGTTTTTTACATATGATCCGTGATGCTCTATAGAAGAGCTGTATTGTTTTTGGGCAAGGTAGGAACAGCCGTTGCTTCAGAAAAAGCAAAAAACTTTCCTTTCCTACGAATTTTCCAAAAAAAAGTTTACTATGATTTTTATGAAATTAACCTTTAGATGAAAAATTTTTTTAAAAAAACTTATAAAGAATGTTCGTTAAGCTTCAACCTCAAACATATGCTGAGCAAAGCTCAGCTGACTCGCTAGTTTTATACCTTTAAACGTATGCTGAGCGAAGCTCAGCTGACTTATCAAGCTTTACACCTTCAAACATATGCTGAGCAAGTCTTGGTCTATCCATAAGACTATTGATGGTACGGTGTGAATATATCTGCATTGGGTTTCTACCCGATACACTAGTTTTCTCCCAAATTGCTAAGTTTTTAATCTTTATCGACATTTTTCTTTAAAGTTATCTACAAAGTCAATCTGGATCAAACAAAATAACCATGACTGTGCCAAAAGTAAGAAAAGTATGACAAACTCTACACAAGACATAATGAAAATCCCAAGCCACCGCATTAGTCAAGAATTCAAAGCTAAAAGTATCCTTCTTTCTTCTTATTTGCAAATAGATTTTGTGGTATTTACATGAGGACTTAGAGGAGATTACGCTGCTGTGGGAAATAAATCGAGATAATTGAATTGATAAAATACATTTTGTGTGTTTTAGTTAACCCCCAAGCACTTTACAGTAATCAATTTTAAATAAGTGTAGCTTACTTATGTAAATAACATTTAGAAGGAATTTTAAAGTCTCTTTTGCTGAAAATGGATAGTCAAAGGATAAACATTTTCCCTTTCATTCATTTGGATTTCATGGATGTGAAGGAAGAGAAAATGAGACAAAAACAAAGGCAAGACGAGTCAATTTTCAATTTCTCATGAGTATAATTCATTTCAATTTTAAATAACGACGACAAAAAAGGTGATAAAAGTTTCTCTTTTATTTTTAAAATATATAGCAATTTGAAAGGTATTGAGTGTGGATTATTCTCCTATCTCCAAACTCGTTCGTTTCTATATTATTGTATTTTTTACAATATAATGGATTGAAGGTGAAAATAATGAATATCGATGAATTCAAATTGTCATGAAAAGGATTATTGGAAATTGAATGGGTTATTGAAAATTATATTTTTGGAGAAATTTCTTTTTAAATTTATGTGAGTTTCTTAATTCGATTTGTTTTGTTTGAAATTACAGTCGTCGCAGTGAAAAGTTGTAGTGACTACAGAAGTCAAACTGTTTAGTGTGATTAGTGACCTTAAATATTTGGTAATAAATCAAATCCAATTCATTGGGTTTACTTTAAAAATTAATATATTGATTTCAAAAACGGCTCAATTTACCAACAGATTCTAACTCAGGAATAGTTTTGAGTTTCAAAATTCCACTAGCATTTCTACTTGCACAATAGTTTCAAAAATTAGATTTTCATACAAAAATTCACAATAAATAATAACCTTGTAATCCACATAGAATAAGCAATATTAATGTTCCGATAACCTTTGACATTGTCCGAAATTCAAAATAATCTTTGAATTCTGCTCAATGTGCGGCAGCAATGAAATACGACTATTAAATGAAATGTATAATCTGAAAAGTTGTGGTTATGGATTGAGACAATTTTTTAAAGTAAAAAGAAACTTCTTTCGAGATCTTATTTCACTAAAGTGGATTATCCTCGATTTCAGATTATCAACTTCAGTTTTTTGCAAATATCTTAAACTTTATGGGAGGTGTGGTATTTCTAATCTTGGATTATAATAGAGTGAACTATGCCTGAAATTTCTATATACTTTAAACTTTTACTTTTCGTTAAGAAGTATTAATTTTTTAATTTTCTAGCCAAATCTAGTAGATTAACTTGGATTTTTGCTATAATTCTCAAACTAATGAAGATATAAAAATTCTAAATATATGTTAATTTAAGGAGCAAAGTACTCCAACTAGATCACACATTAGATCTCTTAGTAACCTTAAGCGTCTGGAGATATTTCCAAAAAACTGAAGTGGAAAATCCGAAATCGAGGATAATCCACTTTAGTGAAACAGGCCGAAAAATATCAACATTTTTCAAAAAATAAGTTTAACGGATAGTAATAATCAGAGCTCAAAGTCGACTCAAGTTGACTAGGATTTTTTCGAGTTGACTCGACTCAAACCCTATCGATTTCGAGCTCTAGTAATAATCTGTAAGTTTGAGTACCAAAATAATGATCTTTCGCTTGTGAGTATGATAGTGACTGTATACAGGAATTGACAGCTTAAAATATGTCTGCAACTCTTTAATATTCATTTTAAGTTCCACACTAAATTTAAATGTCATAAAAGATGATTAAGGATCCTTTACTCTTGCTTTCAGCACTACGCTGCCTCAAAATAAACTCCAAAAGCAAGATTTGCACATAATTAAGTTCCCATCTTCATTTATTTTTAAACTCACATTTGTTAAAAATTACAATTCATCAGACGCAATCCAATAATTTCATGATACGTTAACTTCTCAATCTAATAACTTACATCAAGCACGTACACAATCAGAGATTCAATAAAAATATCACAAAACAATTTTCCCATCCAAGCAGTTAATAAAAATTGAGATGTTTTGCTTTTATTGTACTTCCAATCGGAATCAACAGTCATATCAGCGGGGAAAACATCATTACTTGAGATTATTTAGACCACAGACAGTTCAAAGTAAGAAAATTCTTCTTAGAAGATGATAGTTATTCCTTTGAATGGCAATCAATTATATAGAATGGCGCCATTTGTTTGTTAGCGCCAGACAGACTCAAATTGTGGGAAGAGAAGAGAAATAGAATACAGAACTATATTTTTATGGACAGAATTGATTTTTTTTTCTGTGTTGCTTTATTTTCTTGAAAAAATATAAAACTGAAATTTTTATATCGTCTATGAAATATGATAAAGGCGATGAAAAGCTTTTAAGAAAATTAATCTTTTTTTTTGTTATTTCAAAGCAACGAAGTGGAAAGACGGAGATTTTTTTTGTGTGTATTTATAAACAATTTTCTTATCCATTGTCTATGATATTATAATAATATCCCCATTTTTATGTGAGATAATAGTGAAAGGAGCTATCATGAATAGTTTAAAAATTGAGATGATAATTTGAATCTATATAATGCACAGATTATGAATGTTCTTTTCATATGCATGAGTGGTTTAAGCGCATTGCATTTAATTAAAGTAGTTCAGTGACAAAACTTAGCATTAGAAAAATGCATTTAGTAGATGTGGATCTCTCTATTACTACCATATGTGTATACTAATGTAAAACATGTCGGGTTTGATGGGAATCGAACCCACGACCTCAAAAGAGACGATCTCTGACCACTCGACCAGAGATTCCTGCCACTCGGCTACTGTGGTACTTATCTCACTTCGGCTGTTTGTCATACACATACAACCAGTTTCACTGCAAGCCCTCACCAGAGAGAATATTTGGGACGGAAACAAAAGTTTTTTATACCGTCTTTAGATGGAATCTGCAAGGGAAAAGACACCCAGGAGGGAGGAAACTACTTAACGCAAAACAGTGATGAACGAAAGTCAGCTTAACGTGCGGA